TCACTCCGTGTCGACCTCATGTGTTGGTCGATATCTAACTCGGGTAATTTCTCGATTTCTCTCCAAAATACTCCAAAAACATCATTTTTTCCAAAATACTCATGAACCTATAAATATGCTTAAAAGACTCTATAATATAGTAAATAGATATTAAGACACTTATATAACATAACTAAAAGTGGGCCAAATTCATGGTATGTCATAAAACATACTCCAAACCTATATTAGATTCAATAGAGCACATATACTATGGGTGAAAATAGATAAAACCCATGATATATCAATCACACTTCACATAATAAAAACAAAAAAAATATAAACTTTATATATATAAATAAAGATATGTAATTATTCATCACTAAGTAAAATCAAATTTAGAATATTATTAAAATATATAGTTCGTTATAATATATATTTAATTAAAAATGAATTCTCTACAGTTAATTTTCAGTACTGCCTTTTAAATGATTTTTTTTTCACGCAAAACAAATTAGAAATTCTATGAAAAAAAAAAGATATACGCTGAGTGATACATTAGACGTCACAGTACGTGGCATCATCTCATATAGATTCAAAAATCATAAATAGTTTCTACACTATAATTTTGAACTAAAATGTCAGTACCGAAAATTATAGCTTAGTGATTTAGCTTTTAAGTAAAAACAAAACCAAAAATCAATTGAGATTAATAATATGTTTTCATAATAACCTGAATATGTAAGAAAAAAATATGCTGAATAAAAAATAAGGATTTCAAAAAGACATAAGTATGAGACTTTATTAAAGAGACAAAAGACATTAATACCCTTTATTTACAAATAGAAATAATTATTTAAGGAAATAAAAAATTTTTTTTTTAAGTTTTGAATTATAACTTTTCAAATTGGAAATTGTTTTTGAATTTTATTTTGTTTATTAAATTTATTTTTTCAGATATTCTTTTTTAAATTCGAATATACATTTTGAAACTAGTTTAAAAATTTTATTTTTATTTTAAGTATTTATTTATATTTTTATTAAATTTCTAAACTTTATCCTCTAAAACCCCACTTCTTAAATATAAACCCCAAGTTTAGATAAGTTAACCGTAGGGTTATAAGTATTTATTTACCTCCTTACCATTAAGGATAAATGTGGTTAAGGTAAAGATGAAAAATATACTTAAAAAGTGGTAGTTTAGGTAATTCCCCATTCTTTATACATTTTATATTTGTGTTTACCATCTCATGCATATCTTAGATAGTAAAATAATATTTGCGAATTTTACTTATATTTAATTCAATTTATAATATATATATATTTATAACATAAATGTAATATATGTGTAAAATGAATATCATATGCAATAAATTGTATAAATAACCCGGGCATAGCTCAAGTAAAAATCTCTAGTATTGTTAAAAGGTGAAACAACTTTTATTCTAATTAATAATGCCCACAAATATTGTGTAAGGTAAAAATTTTGTAAGCTTTTAATTATTTTTTAAAAATATATAACTAAATTCTGTCTTTTTAAATTTGCTGCCCTAAGCCATTGCTTCACTGGCTTGTGCCGTAGGCAGGCCTGTGTATGCATAGTGTATAAATATTTGGTATATTAATTTTCGTCTAACTTAGAATATAAACAAAATGGTTCAAAAGTTTTTTAAAAAATTGCATATTCTAAGCAATATAATTTAACATATTGTATTAAATTGTATTAAGTTTATTTTCTTCTGATTTAACATATAAACATAATATTATCTAGGCCCGTTCAGAAATGTAATTTGATACAGTAAAAATGAACTTTTACTACTGTCAAGTTGATAGTGATGTTGTAATATTTAAGATTCAGTTCCACTGGTCCAATCTACACTTTATTCTTATGTGCTCTTAACTTAGTGGAGTTTTAAATTGAGGTAACGTGCAGAACCATTAAAATGATGTGAAGGTAAATGTAAATGCAGAACAATTAAAGAGAAACCGATCTAGAGTGATGAATCGAGTGAGTTCAATCGCAAACCAAACAACTATTCAGGTTCAATTCAGAATAAGTCTAGAATTGAGATCTCGTGGTTAGACCAACACACTTTTTTGTAGTTTCCCCTTTCACCGTTCAGCCTCAGCGCCTAAATGTCGCTTGGTATGAGATGTGCTGATGAACATTAGTGCACAAGTCTGATCTGTTCAGAATGCACCCTAACATCTACTTTCGCATGGCTAGGGATGTAGTGCTTAAACATGCCAGATTTATCAACCTATGACACTTTTGATGCATAAGTTAAACCTAGAATCGTATGCTAGGTGATCAGAATAGCATAAGCATTAACATGGAATACGATTGCGTAAACTAGAAAGAGGGTTCAAGATTTCTTCTCCAACGAGAGAGAGAGTGTATCCTTCTCCCTTACAAAATAGGAAAATCGCCAAGTAGAAAATCTCCCAATGAGTTTATTGTGTAAAAAATAGCGTGAAAATAAAATAGTGATAGGCGGCCATTTTTATGTGGAGGTGCCGATAGGTTAGAAGAGAAGATAGGGTAATTAGGGAAAAATCCTGAAATATTTTGAAGGTTTCTTAAATGTCGAGAACAATAACCGCAATGTTCCTTGTGGGAACAATCGTCAAACTGTTCTGCCTGGTCTGCGTGTGAAAACACTCTGAATTGACATATTTCCTCATGTACCCTCCTTCAACTCTAAAACCTATTCCAGATCTGAAATAACTCAAAAAGGAATAGACAGACTTGATAAAAGACTGAAAACTTTTTAAAAATCATATTTTCAATAATGTCAAAAACACTATATATCATAATCCGAACAACATCTCCTAAGGAACTCAAACAGAATAATTCAAACAAATTAGATTGTGAATCTAAAATTTCATCTAATCTTCAACCAAATAAAATAATACCTTTTCTGAAACTATTCCTAGTGGTATTCAAATTTTTAACCTAATAGTTTGTATTTATTGAAGAAATTCCAAAATATATCCACTTATAAATATATGACAAGTAAGATATTGTAGATTAGCAAATACATTATCAATAAGTGTAAACAAAACTCTTATTTTTAGGGCTTTGCGTGAGAAACACATATGAACCTTAATATATAGTTAAAAATTAAAAATATTTCTCCAGTCCAATCAATTAATTAACAATATCAAAATTTGTAACCTTTAAAATAAGCATACTAAATGTTAATAATTCTATTAACCATTTATTCATAGATATAAAATTTAAAATATAAATTAAATGATTTTTTAATTAGTTCAAATTATAAAATTTTCTAATTTCTTGATTGAACCAAGTCAACATATTTTTTTAATCCGAGTTATTTAAATATAGTGAAGTTATCCTATATTTATCAAAAATCCTAAAAATGTGATTTTAACGCAACTATTTAATTCAACGAATGGAAATCGAACCAAAACTGAATTGAAGTCAAAATTTTGCCTGGTTCCTAACATTTTTATCCGAGCAAAAAAAAATACTAAAATAACCAAATTGATAAATAATCAAACGGTTCTTATAACTATTGAACTGAAAATCGAAAACACAACCAGCTAGAACCAAACTAGGAAAAAATTGGAAACCAAGCGCCTTTGTCTAGATATATTATTGAAAAAAAAGTACAGGTTAACAAATTATCAACAAAAAATAATCTCGCGCTTTCAAAGCGCAGATCGAATTCTAGTGTACTTTTAAAATATATACAAGAGCTTGATCCGCGCGCCCACGTGAGCGTATTTTGTTTTTTAAATATGATGCTATTTATTTTTCATGTCACTATTATATATTATCTATGTGTCAACAAATAATTAATCATATTTTATACGTGCCAGCATATAATTAATCATATTTAATACATACCATCATATAATTAATCACATATCATTATATTTAAAAACTTATTGTGTAATATAAGAGCCATGTTTTGATTTGTTGTTTGAAATTGAGCTTTTTATCGTATTTTCTTATAATATATTGATTAATTTGTTTTATAGTGGTTATTGGAAACTATATTAGTAAAAATCAGTTTTAAATATGTTTTGGTATCATTAATGTATATATTAAGACATTTGGCAATAATATGTAAAGTTTAATTCCAAAAATTATTACCAATATATAATTAATTGTTTTTATAAAATTTATTTTATTCACATAAATAAAAATGTAAACAATATTTAAACATTGGTATTATGAAATGTAAATAATATAAATGAAATTTATGGATGTACTTCATTTATAAAGAATATATATATATATATATATATTCACTTATAAATAATTACTTCATTAATATGTTAAAATCCACAACTATATTATATAAAATAGGTTAATTATGTTTTTTTAATCAACTAAATATATATTTATGTCGGACTTTATAATAATACATCGTACTAAACACACTTAATCATATAAATAAAATTATCTATTTATTAATAAAAGAAGAACACTACTATCCATGTTCATGAAATCACAAAAATTACATTAGTGAAAAAAACACACTTATATTCATGTTTTCAAACACTATACACTTTTTATTTTATTATTCATGTTTTCAAACAATTATCATTTGTATTTCAGTTTTAATAATATAGATATGCCGGGAGCTCGGAAGCTCATCATTTCAAAACTTTTCCCTTGTCAAACATTATAGAAGTAAGGTAAAACGAAATTTAAAGGATGTTCATCCTAAGCTTTCTTTCTAACTTCTTTTACGTTCTTGTTCTTCCTAATTTACTTCCATTATTTCTCTTAGATATCCATTTGGTTAAACTTATCAAAAGAGTTGCAATTTAATGGCAAGAGTGTTGTTAATTTGTTTCATTCCTTAAACTGAAAACTATAGTGTGTATGTTGCATTATATTATTACATCTCACCTTTATTATCACAAAATCTTTCAAAAAAATATATACTTAATACAAACATAATTTAGAGAAAACCAAAATCTCTAAACATCAGAAATAATACTTAAATATGTGAATAAATAGTTGCGCTGTGTGAATATTCATTTCCTCATTTCTTCTCATTCATGCCAAGACTGTTCTTAACACCATCTAAAGCACCTTGAGCCATGTTCTTCACAGATTCTCCCGTCTGGTCTCCAAATTCATATTGAAATATAAATATTTTTACCAAGTTATATTCAGTATTAATAACTATATTAAAGCATATTGAAAGACGACCTACATAAATATATGCGGCGAATTTAATCTCGTAGGGGTATATACAATAAAGAAGTTAATGAAAATATACCTGGCCGAGAATACCAGTAGTTTGTTCCTGGCCATGTTGAGCTGATTCTCTAGTGGAATGAGATTTACCAGCAGACTTGTTTTGTGCTGAATGTGTAACATCAATAGCCTTGTCATGTGCTGACTGTGCCACCTCGGCAGTCTTATCACGTGCTGATTGTGCAGTCTGCTTTGCAGACTCAGTCCACTGCTCGGCCTTCTCCTGTTGTATCCATGAGAACGTTATATAGAAAACATATTTAAAATTTGGTGAAATATTTATTCAATATGATTTGAAATTGATTAATAAAAAAAATTGAGGTCGCAGATCATACGCGAGCTTGACCCTTGGTTTGGCCAGAATTGAATGCTTGTTGTGACATGACTGATGATCCAAAGATCAAAACTTTAAAGAAAATTTAAAGTATGTGAGAGAGTTAGTTCTATTAGCTTTGATTGTTGAATATGTTTGATACAAGGTATATTTATAATAAATTTTGTTTCGATTTTTGTTTTGTGATGAGTGGTGGACAAATTTTTTTTTGTGTGTGGACTTATTGTTGTCGATCTTGAGAGAATTGTGGTTAGCCATTTGTGTTGTTTTGTAAGATCAATTTGACTTTTTCTTTCCTTTTACCCTTACATAAAAAGTTCTCATTCTCCCACCCGCCTCCCCAAATAGAGTAAACTGGAAAAAATCAAACTATTTTTGGTAAGGGTAGGCAGTGCCGTGCGAAGTTTAATGGAGCCTGAGGCCAGGCGAATATAAAAATAAGGTCCCTTTTAAAAAAAAATATTTTCTAAGAATATCTATTTATCTATATATATCTTATTATATAAAGTAGGCTTTTCCTTCCTTCTGGAATGCCACGTCACTAATTCGTATGTTCTGGAAGCGACACGTGTTTCATCTCTATATACGCTGCGTTTTGTTTTTTGGGCCACGGTTATCAATTTTCGGACTTTGCGTGTTTGCTTCTAAAACTCAGCAAGATGATTAGGGTTCATGTTGACGCGATGATTAAGGTTCATGTTCTTCCTAGCGATGGAGATTCTAGATACCAACAATAGAGTTTCGAGATGTTAAATCAACGTTAGGTGTCGCTGTTTGAATCTTCAATCCCCACATTAGGGTTCATGTTCTTCTTCTATTTCTGAAACCTAAAGTGTTGTTATTCGTTCTCTGATACCAACAATGAAAATTTGAGGTACCAACTATGGAGTTTCGAGCTGTTCAATTGACATTAACTATCTCTGTCTAAATCTTCAGTTCTGATGTTTTGTTTTCCGTCCTAATTAATCGAAACAGTACAAGCTATTGTTTCATCTCCTTTATCACACTTCTTAACTTCATCACAGAAGTCGACCACGATCTGAAATTGAATGCGGCTTATCCCTTTGCAAGACAGTGTCTCTATTCCTATAAAAGGTAAGCCTTCTTCCTTTGAAGATCATCCTCTCAACTCACAAAACTTATTTTCTCTAAAGTGGACAACTCATCAATCCTTCTTTTTGATTTGAATGGGGCTGGTGTTCTTCAACTGAATTCTGGAAAGCCATGAACTTCACAGGCGGTGGTGAGCGTATGATGGTGGATATATATGCTCTTACTGGATTCAAAGGTTATTATCTTCTTAAACTCATGTTCATATGATTATATAAAAGTATTATGGTGTGTTTTCTCAACATTGTCAAGTTTTTTTACTCAGATCCTTTTAAGACTCATGTTCATAGTCTTCTTTCATGTTCATTTATAGTGTTCCCAAACTTCGTACCTTTATTAACGTGATTCTGTTTATTTATAAGTGTTATTAAATTCATGTTCCTAGGACTATTAAACTAATGTTCATAGTGTTCTTAAACTCATGTCTTTATAGATTAGATTTTAGATGATTAATTTAGAAACTGTCTTTTATTATTCTTCCTTTCAAAATGTGTTTCAGGCAACTCTTCTACCGGCCACTTTTAATGTTAATCGGCTTGCAACTTGCAGGCCTTATCTCAAAGCAGATTCAATGTATTCCGTCACCGGTTTTTATGTTTCCCAGTGTAATCAGAACAAACTGTCGGAATCCTCTTTATTGAGTTGATTCAGTGATGAAACCTCTATCGATGAGGTAATCGAACAAGTAACTGAGATGAATGGTCTAGCCAACACGAACACACAACTCTCAGGTATGCCCCCTACTTTCTGTTCGCCAATATATCCGGATAAAATTACGTTATGTGGCTGGATGACTTTGTTTTTCCATATTTTGAGTTGTGAGTTCAAGTACTCTCCTTCACAAGCAGGTATTAGTTACACCTGAAGATGTTAACCATATAAGGTGTTGTCAACATCAGGGACACATATATTTTTTGACTAAGAGACTAATGCAGGGGAGAACATTAACTGTGGGAACATCTTCAAGTGGTCTAACCTCCAAAAGGTCGTAAGTGGTAATGATCATGAGAACTCATCAGTTGTGTGACTATCTTCAATTGGTATCACCTTCAAAAGTCTCCAGCAACAGAAACTACCAAGGTGGCCAAGAAGGCACAAATGGCTTAAGTGAAGATAATGAATTACATGGACGCAGTTCTTACTTTTTGAATAATGCTTATGCGTCGATGTTGTTTTCCTTTTTTTTTTTTACCTTTGAGTACTCTACTGGTTTTTCATATGTTTTCAAAACTATTACTTTTGAATAAAGAAATAAATAAATGATCATGCGGTATTACTTTTGAATATTTGTTATGCTTTCATAATGGTGACCGAGTGGCACAAGCTTAATACATTTCCAATGTTACACTGACATCTTATCACCGACCCAGTGGGATCTATATCTATAGCTATGTTATCAAGTTGCTACCATCCTGACCCAAATAATTTTAAAGACAAAATAACCACTATCACCCACATCTTTCAAATACAAACCTAAATCCCATAAAAGATCGAAATTGTGGTTAAGAAAAATCAAAGGGAAGAGCTATATGTTTTAAAGGTGAGTCCATCAATAGGAACCAGACTCGGCGTGTCATAAACCTTGGTCCCTGACTCATACTATGATTCTGATGTTAACAATGGCGTGATCTTAGGTATCTACATCTTATTATTTCTGTACCAAAAAAAATATATATATTCGCTTAGTGGTTTAAAAAAAATTTCCAAACTTATAGCTTCTTCCAAATCAGGCAAACACAGGCAACCATGGACCATGGTTAGATGCAAAGTATCTCTTGCATCAAACACTTGAAACTCCAGCCATCAGACTCCAAAAAGACAACGTAAAGGTATTAATTATTTGTCATGTATAATTATTAAGACAACATTCAAACAATAATGACAATGTTAAAAACTCTACACCAAAAATTTCAAGATTCTCTAGCTCACTGTTTGACGGCATCTATGTGTTCACGGGATTGAGGCGAGAGAGGAAGACTTGGAAGAGATGCAACTCCTTCTGTGAGCCAAAATTATGATGTGGATTTAATAATTAAAATTTGTATCAATAATAACAAAAATAAACAAAGGTGTTTATTGTAATTTACTAGGACTCTAAAAACATTCTAGTAATTTTTAGAAAATGTATATTATTCTAGTCATATACAAGCTTTTGTGTATCATTCTAGTAATTTTCTCTAAAATTTAATTATGAGAATTTTTTACTCTTTTTTTACGTGAGTTTTTGACTCAATTAAATACAATTAAACTTTCACCTGTTTTTTTTTTTCCATTGAACTTTCACAAATTTAAGCTGTGGAACTCATACATATGTAATAGCTACACACTAAAACTAAATAAATAAGCAATAAAACGCTCCCGACACCCAACTCTCCATCCTTTAAAAATCCTAATCTATTACGGTGGTCCCCCGACGGCCAGAGCCCACTCCTGGCATCGGAGGTATCTCTCTTCGCTCTCCTTGTTTTTTATTTGCTCTCCTCTGGCTCTTCCTCCCACCGGTGAGATGCTTGACTATTCTGGGGTCCGATTGAAGTACCTAGCTCTGCTCTGTCTGCGACGGGGTGTAGCTAGATAAGGCAACGGTGAATCTATGGAGCAGCGGCGAGTCGGTTATGGAGAAAGCTCCGAGTGGAGTAAGCGTTTTAGGCTTTGTTTGGATGAGCCGACGTTTCATTTTTCTTTTGAAAATCGACTCCCAACTTCGATGTGGTGGCGCATGGCTTTGATTCTGTCTCTTCTCTTGCAGATCTGGAAGCTGGACGAATGGGTTAGCCTGAGGTTCAGATCTGGAAGTGAAGCGGCGCGTGTGATGGCAAGTGAAGCAGACCTGAGCTTTGGTGGTGTTTCAGTCATCCTCGCGCTCTAGTGGACTTTGAAGATTCTTATCTTTGGAGGCGTGTTCCGAGATTAAATGATTGATGTGTGTCAATCTAATGTTTCTTTGGAGGTGCGTGTGCTTTTGATTCCTGCAACAAGAAGGATCGTCTATGGTTTGTCTGAAGGCTAGAAGCTAATGAGCTCTACTCGGACAAGCGATGCTACGACAATGGCGAATTAGCTACCTGCAGAAGAAGCTGATAGCTCTGGTTCTCGGGGACAGGACGTGAAGAGATTTCCATTTCGCTTGGTCAACGGAAGTGTTCGACGTCTCAGTGGTTTTCACAAAAACCTAAATTGTAAATCCTAAACTCTAATCCCTAAACCCTAAATTCCACCCCTTAACTCTAAACCCTAATCTCTAAATTAATTTATCATTGGAATATATGTGTATATTTATCTTTTGATAAAACATTAAGTGTTATTTTGGTCATTTTTATTCTTAAGTGCTATATTTGTGACAAAAACTTTTTTTAGTTCTATTCTAGTCCTATAAACTAGAATAGAACTAAAAAAAAAAAAACTTTTTATAGGTTTCGATGAGATTTTGTGGATGGGATCCAGGAGAACGGTGGCTTTTAATTGGGAATCAAAGGAATCGGGAGGGCTATTGGGACAGTGTATCTTTGGTGAAGGAAAGTCATGCTCAGCGATGTAAGTTGCGAGATTCAGGGAGAAAGGAAGTTGTTTTTATGGTGTTTTGGGATCTGTGGGATTCTGGAAAATCGGGGCTGATAAAGGGTGAAGATGTGGTTGGATACTTCATCTACACGACTGTCACAAAGGTATCTCTACAGATCTTACAATTAAGAGGTTCAAGCTATTATGTCAACAACAAATGGAAAGGGGAGATTCGCTGTTTCTTTGCTCAACAGGATTTGGGGATTTATTTAGGGAGAGAACGGAATATTATGGTCTGGTTGAGGATTCTGGAGTTATTGGATCTTAATCACGGAAGATTTGATTTTCTGGGGATGGAGATTCAGAGGATCATTTGCAGTTTCTTGAGCTATTATATAAAGAAGCTCACTTTTTTTGGGTTACAACACATACCAATTTTCAACACATATATCCTTTTTGCTGGTTTTGGTTTCTCTTGTTCGTTGAAATCAATGGCACAGAGTCAGCTTCTTCGCCACACGGGTGCCGCAGAAGGAAGTCGTAAGAGGATCAAGATATCGGTACCACATTTTGACAACACGGCGCTCATCCAAGGATATGCAAAAACCTTAATTGGTCGCTGCATGAATCCTCCTAAACAGGATGTGAAGGCTTTGGTGGCAAACCTCCCGAAGATCTGGAACCTGGAGAATCGTGCGGTGGGGACAGATTTGGGGCTGGGGAAGTTTCAGTTCGACTTTCAAGATGATGCGGACATTGATGCAGTGTTGATGAAACAACCGTACAACTTTGACTACTGGATGATATCAGTGGAGAGGTGGCAGCCAAGAAGAGAACGTAACTATCCATCGGATATTATTTTTTGGGTGAAGGTTTTGGGTGTTCCTTTGGAATTTTGGGCGGCTCAAACTTTTGAGAGTATTGGGGAGGCACTGGGTGAATGGCTGGAGGTTGATTTAGACCAAGGAACTCGTGTTTGAGACTACTGTTGAGTTTAAAGGTGGAGAATTTCATGATGGGGAGGAGGTTTTAATATCGCTTCGATATGAGAAGCTCTTTGGCTACTGTGAACTGTGTGACAGTTTGTGTCATGATGAGAAGCTGTGCCCCTTGAATCCAAAGGGTGTGGCTAACAAGAAGGAGTCCATCGATGATTATTCTGGTCATCATGATGATCGTGCAAGGAGTTACAGAGGAGTGGTGCTAAATGGCAATAATCATCACCAAGAGAAGGGAAAGGGTCATCAAGAGTTTAAGGGCAAAGGCAAAGGAAGGGCTTATGAGGATCAAGAAGTTCACTGGGTTCGTGTTCCTGAGAGAGACAATAAGAGAGCTTATGATGCACGTAGTAATGGTCGTGGTGAGGAGCGGGGATCGCGTACAAGAGGTCCTCACAGGGACTCACATAGGCGTTATTTAGAGGAGCGTAGTGGGTCTCACCGTGGGGAGTTTTCGAGGGGAGGGTCTTCTCGACTTACTGCGAGGGAAAGGAGCCCATTACAAGGAGGTGCGAAGGATGTTCCAGAGGAGGGAGAGTTTGAACGAAAGAGTCACACAATCACAGCTGGGGAAGTGCACCTTCGAGTATCTTTACCTAATGAGAATGTGGCGGGAGATGACACAGATCGTCCAAAGGTATTTTCTGGTATGGAGACAATGGATAGTAGGTTAGAACAGACTTCTGAACTAGGTGGAACAGGGGATGTTACTGTGGGAGATGTTCCTATGGATCTAGATGATAATAAGATTGATTTAGTGGGGAATGTAAGGTCTGGAAGTGAAGAGGAGGATTTTGAGAATCTTACAGATGGGGAGGCTGACGACATAGTGAATGGTGCAACTGATGCTCTGGATGATGATGCAGCTGCTATCCAAGTAGGGACGACATGTAAGACAGGACTGGTTGAGAGGGAGGAGGCAAAAAAGAAGGGTACTCGTAAGGCGTTGTTTAAGCAGACGGGATTGGCAGTGGGGATCTCAAACAAGAAGTTTGTCCAGGCGGTCCTATCACCACGCAAGCGTGGTAATGCTAAATCTGGTACTCGTCTAGGAGATGGGATGAAACAGGCTACGGATAAGGGCACTTCAAACCCTAAAGCTGGCTCTTCTAAACCTTAACGATCCTTATGAATCAAAGCTTCTACAATGTTTGGTGGCGGGAGTTCTCTTTTGTTTTGGCTTATTTTGTTTCTTGGTTTTCAATAAGCTCTTTGAGCATGATGAACTGTTGTTTTTCTGTTTTTGTTTGGCTCTATGTTAGCCTTTCTGTATTTGCTTGGTGTCATGCTCTATGCATGAGATGGAATAAACTTTTCTCGTTTCTCTATAGCAATATGATTAGGTGCATGGTGGTGGTTTGCTGGAAGCTTATGTGTCACTGGTTTTTTGGAAGAAGAGCTTCTGTTTTTTTATTACAAACGGACAATCTGCAGTTGCTCTCATTAAAGCAATGGCAGGGAAGTTTACATTATCACATATGGTCTCAGTGGGTCCTCTGGGTGGCCATACGGCTGTGTTCCTTCATGCTCATCACAGGGTGGAGTATTTTTACGAGGCTAATGCAACTGAAGTGTCTTTTGGTTGGTAGATTTTTTATCTTTTGCTGGTCAAGGGTCATTACGAGTAGAAGAATTAACAATTTTTTTAAGGAAATATGGTTTGGGGGAAGTGGTCTCTTGGGGATCACCTATGGCCTTATTTTAGGTACGACAAGGTTAGTAGTATGGTTTTCTTTTAATAGCTCTGGCAAGATGGACGCACAAACTATGCTGCTATGCGGTGTGCATTATAATCTGTTCAAGGATCTCTTTAAATCTCTGAGGATCAGCTCTATGGAGCAGTACCAAGAGTCTTTATATGAGAATCCTGAGTTGAAATTGTCGAGGCATGGGTAGTAAATGGACTATTAGTTACATGCGGGAGATATGGCATAAACATAAGCCTGACTTCCTCTTTTTATCTGAAACCAAGCAATCTTTTGAGTTGTACATGGATTTCAAAATCATTTCGGCTATGATAATTTGGTCACAGTAGACCCGGATGGGAGGACTGGAGGATTGGCTCTATTTTATAATAATGATTTCCAAGCTAAGATTTTATACTCTAGTAATCGGATGATTGATGTGGAGGCAGTGGCTCTTGGAAGCCAGGTTTTTCTAACCTTTGTCTATGGTGATCCGGTTCATAATTTAAGAGAGCAAGTTTGGGAACGGTTAACACGGTATGGTTTAGCAAGATCAGAACCGTGGTTTATTATTGGTGATTTGAATGAGATAACTGGTAATCATGAAAAGGATGGGGGAGCGTTACGGAGTTTGGCTTCTTTTGTGCCTTTTAATAATATGATTAGAAATAGTGGGTTGATTGAGTTCCCGGCTCGTGGGAAAAAAATGTCATGGCAAGGACGTCGAGGGAAAGGAAAAGGAGCGGTGACGATAAGATGTCGACTTGACCGTGCACTAGCAAATGAAGAATGGCATACACTATTTCCCTGCTCTTATACAGAATATTTAGCGATGATTGGCTCGGATCATCGCCATGTAGTGGCATATATGGAAGATAAAGTTTATAAAAGGAGGGGACAATTCAGATTCGATAAAAGATGGATAGGCCAGGAAGGTTTTATGGCATCAATTGTGGCTGGATGGAATGATGGAAATAATGGCCAGGGAGACGACTTTGTCACAAAAATAAGTAATTGCCGGCATGAGATAGCTCGGTGGAGGAAAGATAATCCACCATATGGAAAAGAGAAAATTCAAGATCTCCAAAGGGCTCTTGAAGAGGTACAGATGGACGATAATAGGACGCAAGAGGACATTTTGGAAGTCTCTAGGAAATTACAAGATGCATACAAGGATGAGGAGGATTACTGGTATCAAAAGAGTCGTAATATGTGGTACTCTTTGGGAGATCTTAATACCAAATTTTATCATGCCTTAACAAAACAAAGAATGGTGCGCAACAGAATTGTGGGGCTTCATGATGATGATGGAAATTGGATAACAGATGAAAATGGGGTACAAGAAGTTGCAGTGAACTATTTTGAGCAGTTATTTACTTCAACTTCCCCATCTGAGTTTGATAGCTTCCTAGAGGAAGTTCCCTCAAATATCACAGCTCAAATGAATCAAAGGTTATTGAGAATGGCCACAGAGGAAGAGGTTAAACAAGCTTTATTTATGATGCATCCTGAGAAGGCACCAGGGTCAGATGGAATAACAGCACTGTTTTTCCAGCATTCATGGCACATTATTAAAGCGGATTTGGTAGAGATGGTGAACAATTTTTTGGTTTCAGGTGTACTGGACGCTTGTTTAAATATTACTCATATTTGTATGATTCCGAAGACGGAGCGACCCACAAGGATGACAGAGCTTAGACCGATAAGTCTTTGTAATGTTGGATATAAGATTATCTCCAAAGTGTTATGTCAACGCTTGAAAAGCTGTCTGCCCCAGATTATATCGGAAACCCAATCGGCCTTTGTTCCAGGAAGGTTAATCTCGGATAATATTCTAATAGCACAGGAGATGTTTCATGGTTTAAGAGCAAATAAATCTTGTCAGGGGAAGTTTATGGCGATAAAAACAGATATGAGTAAAGCGTATGATCGGGTGGAATGGGATTTTATTCAAGCGTTGCTACACAAGATGGGTTTCGACCCTCAATGGACAAAGCTCATGATCGAATGTATATCGTCGGTCCAGTATCGTGTTTTGATTAATGGTCAGCCAAAGGGTTCTATTATCTCACAGAGAGGATTAAGACAAGGGGATCCTTTGTCTCCCTATCTATTTATTATGTGTACGGAGGCTTTAATCGCTAATATTAAGAAGGCAGAGGGACAAAGGAGACTAACAGGTATGAAGGTTGCGAGAGCGTGTCCACCAATTTCTCACCTTCTTTTTGCAGATGATAGCCTTTTCTTTTGCAAGGCGGAACAGAATGAATGCCAGACTATACTGACCATTCTAAAGGAATATGAGGTTGTTTCGGGTCAATTGATAAATTTCCAGAAGTCTTCACATCAATTTGGCCATCGGATTGGGAGGAAAAGAGACAAGAGCTCAGGGATATATTAGGAATCCAGAATATAGGAGGCATGGGAACATATTTAGGACTACCAGAGAGTCTGAGTGGGTCTAAGATACAAGTTTTTGGTTTTGTGCCGGAAAGATTAAATAAACGGGTTAATGGTTGGACATTCAGGTTTTTTTACGAAAGGAGGAAAAGAGGTAATCATCAAATCGGTGGTTACGGCTTTACCGAATCATGTGATGTCCTGTTATAGGTTACCCAAGGCAACCACAACGAAACTAACAAGTGCAGTAGCACAATTTTGGTGGAGTCCGGGGGGAAGCACAAAGGGAATGCATTGGAAATCATGGGATCAATTATGTTCTCAGAAGGATGAAGGAGGTTTGGGTTTAAAGAACCTCGAAGATTTTAACACAGCAATGTTGGCCAAACAACTATGGCGCCTTATTGAGAAACCAAATACTTTGTTTTCTCGTGTCTTCAAAGGTCGATACTATAGGAATGCGTCGCCTTTGACACCGATCCGATCATATTCTCCATCCTATGGCTGGAGAAGTATGGTTTCAGCTAGATCTCTGGTTAGCAAAGGACTTATTAAACGGGTGGGATCAGGATCATCTATCTCCGTATGGAATGATCCATGGCTCCCAACCACTCGCCCAAGACCAGCGAATAAAAATCAACAAAATGTTTTTCCGGAACTTACAGTGGATTCACTCATCAATACAACTTCACGGACTTGGAATATGTCGGTTATTCGAGCTCTAGTAGACTCCCAGGATGTGGAAATAATAGCACGGATTCCACTCAGTCGGATACCTGTGGACGATAAGGAGGGATGGCATTTCACCAAGAATGGAAAATACACGGTTAAGTCAGGGTATGAGGTTGAAAGGGTGTACCCGGATAGAGAAAGGCCAATTGAGTTCCCCGGACCTAGAGTGGATGTCTTGAAAGCACACTGCTGGAAGGTAAGGTGTCCCCCCAAGATCAAACATTTTCTATGGCAGTTGCTATCGGGTTGTATCGCGGTCAAGAAAAAATCTTCAGAAAAGAGGGATAAAGGGTGATATATGTTGTGACAGGTGTGGTGCTGAAGAAGAATCGGTTAACCATGTTTTCTTCGAATGTCCACCAGCACGCCAAATTTGGGCTCTGTCAAGGATTCCTTTGAATCCGGTTACTTTTCCAGCAGGGTCCCTGTTCACGAATATGGATCATTTATTCTGGCGGGTTTCCCCTAAAATGGATGACGATCATTTTGCATGGATTTTGTGGTACATCTGGAAAGGGCGAAATAGCAAGACTTTTAGTAATTTGGATGTTGATCCAAAGGATACACTGGCATTAGCTGAAGTGGAATCAACTTTGTGGGAGGAGGCCCAAATAAAAGTCGATCAGACCAGTGAACAGTTAGGGGGCGTTACGGCCTTACCGTCTATACCAGGACGGTGGTGTTTTATTGATGGTTCTTGGAAAGAAAAGGATCGATTTGATGGACATGGATGGTATAGTACTCTTGAAGGTTTTACGGGCTTGATGGGAGCAAGAAATGTGAGAGCCAGTCTTTCATCTCTTCATTCTGAGGTGGAGGCGCTTATCTGGGCAATGGAGAGTATGAGGAATTTGCGGCAATACCAAGTTACTTTTGCAACAGATTGTTCTCAGTTGGTGAAGATGATTTCTGAACCAGATGAATGGCCAGCCTTTGCAAGTTATTTGGAAGATATCAAGACGCTTCAAGAAAGTTTTCATAGCTCAGCAATAATCTATGTACCGAGGACAATGAATTCACAAGCGGATAGTCTAGCACGTGGTGCGAGAAAACAATCGTCTTTTGTTGTTCACATAGATACAGAGCTGCCGGCTTGGTTCACAGGGTCCATATGAGTCTGTGTTTTGTTGATGTCAAAAAAAAAAAAAGTTTTATTCTAGTCATTTTCTTATTTAAGTTCCTCCAATGCTGATTTATTTACTTATTTTTTGAAATTTTTTAATGTTGATATATTATTTAAGAATTATTATCGTAAACTTTATTTTTACAGTTTTATTATATATAAATTTTATAAATTTAAATA